GTATATTACTAGTGCAAATGGAGCACATTCCCCTGTGAAGGGTGAAGGCACTATCTCTTTGACTCCAACCTTATCATTGGTTCGTGCTTTACTTGTTCCTGATGTTAAGTGCAATCTTTTGTCGGTAGGAAAACTTCTTGATACCTTATATTGTTCTGCTCACTTCTACTTTACATATTGTTATTTTCAAGATATTCAAACTCAGAAGATAATTGATCATGGTAAAAGAATAGGGGGTTTGTACATCTTGACTATGGAGGATACTGTTGTTTCTGGTTCAAATAATCATCAAGTTTTAAGTGCTAAAGTGGATGACAGACATCAAATTTGGTTGTGGCATCAATGATTGGGACATCCATCATTTAGTTATATGAAACATTTATTTCCTTCTTTGTTTCGCATTTGTAGTGATTCGGAGTTCAAGTGTGAAACATGTGTCATGGCTAAGAGTCATCGTGCTTCCTTTCCCGTAAGTGATTCTAAAGCTACTTTGCCATTTGGTTTGATACATTCTGATGTGTGGGGTTCGGCGAAAGTTACTTCTAATGGATTCCATTGGTTTGTTACTTTTATTGATGATTGTACTCGGCTAACTTGGGTGTTCTTGATGAAGAATAAGAGTGATGTTCCGTTACTTCTTCAAGAATTTTGTACAATGGTGTCTACTCAGTTTCAGAACAAAGTTAAGGCCTTCAGGTCTGATAACGGGGGAGAATATATGAATCACACTTTGGCATGTTTTTTTTGTGATCATGGTATTATTCACCAGACGACTACTCCGTTTACACCCCAACAAAATGGTGTGTCCGAACAGAAGAATCGTCAAATAATGGAAGTTGCTCGCTCCTTGATGTTGGATAAATGTGTTCCTAATCATTTGTGGGTGCTGTTTTGGCTGTTGTGTATTTGATCAATCTTGTTCCAAGTAGGGTTCTTGATTTTCAAACACCATTCGATGTGCTACAAAAACATGTTTCTCTTGTTTTTGTATCAAAACTTCCTCCGAAAGTGTTTGGCTGTATTGCGTATGTGCATGTCTACTCTCATCAGCGGAGTAAATTTAATGCATGTGCTCTCTGGTGTGTCTTTATTGGGTATGCTAACAATCAGAAAGGCTATAAGTGTTATCATCCTCCGACTCAAAAAACTTATATTACCATGGATGTCACCTTCCATGAGGAAGTTTCGTATTTTGTGAAGCCCTCTTCCGACTCTCTACTTCAGGGGGAGAATGGGAGTGAAGTGCAGAATCGAAGAGATGGTATGGATGATGTGTTACATGTAGAGTTGGGAACATAACCTATTATGTTGCGTGATACTGATCAGTCGACTACAGATAGTGATCGGTCATCTGTTATTCCCGGAACTATTTCTAATGGCGATAGATCAGATGTGCCTAGCGAGTTGCATGTTAGTATGTCTGACAAATTACCTTCTGATGATTGGTTGCTTGCTGCTGATATGTCTAACGAGTTGCCTAATGATGGTTCGTCCAGTGATGATTCTCCTAACAGTTTGGTACAAGATGGTGGCATACATGAGGTAAATTCTGACGATTCTTCTACTTATCAGTTGCCTCCACGAGCTAATCGTGGAAAACCTAAAGTACAATATGAGCTTGATATGCATGCCAAAGCCAAATATCCTATCAACAATTATGTGTCTACTCATCGTTTATCCAAACCATATGCATCTTACATATGTCAGCTATCTAGTGTATCAATTCCAAAAAAATTGCAAAATGCTTTGTTTGACCTTAAGTGGGTTAATGCCATGCAAGTTGAGATGGAAGCTTTGGAAAAGAATTCTACCTGGGATTTGGTTCCTTTACCAAATGGAAAAAAAGTCGTTGGATGTAGATGGGTGTTTACTATTAAGCACAAAGCAGATGGTTCTATTGACCAGTATAAAGCTAGATTAGTTGCTAAGGGTTATACTCAAACCTATGAGGTGGACTATCAGGAGACCTTTGCTCCTGTTGCCAAACTTAATATTGTGCGTGGTCTTCTGTCCTTAGCAGCAAACCAGGATTGGCCTATGTTGCAGTTTGATGTTAAGAATGCTTTCCTTCATAGTGATCTTAAGGAGGAAGTGTATATGGATCTCCCACCTGGTATTGGAACATCTCCTGGAAAAGGTGTTGTATGCAGGTTACGAAAGGCCTTGTATGGTTTGAAACAATCTCCTAAAGCGTGGTTTAGGAGGTTTACAAGTTTAATGAAGAAGTTTGGGTATATCCAGAGTCATTCAGATCATACTTTGTTTCTAAAACGACAAAATGGTAAGCTAACTGCGTTGATTATTTATGTTGATGACATGATAGTGACTGGTGATGATCAAAAGAAGATACAACGTCTTCAAAAGTACCTAGCTATTGAGTTTGAGATGAAAGAATTGGGTGAATTGAAGTATTTTCTTGGAATCGAGGTTGCACGATCCAAGCATGGTATTTTTCTGTCTCAACGGACATATGTTCTTGATTTATTAGCTGAAATAGGTATGTTAGATTGCAAACCTGTTGATACTCCGATTGAGCAGAATCATCATCTGGGCTTATTTCCAGATCAAGTTCATACTAATAAGGAATGGTATCAGAGGCTTGTGGGGAGATTAATTTATTTGTCTCACACTCGCCCTGACATTGCTTATGCAGTTAGTGTGGTAAGTCGGTTTATGCACTCACCTAGTGAAGCTTATATGAATGCAGTAACCCATATTTTGAGGTACTTGAAGATGGCTCCTGGCAGAGGCCTGTTTTTCTCTAAGAATGGTCATTTGAATGTCGAAGGGTATACAGATGCAGATTGGGCAGGTTCTATCACTGATCGGCGATCTACATCTGGATACTTTACGTTTGTGAGTGGTAATTTAGTTACTTGGAGAAGCAAGAAACAAAAAGTGGTGGCTAGGTCAAGTGCAGAAGCTGAGTTTCGTGGTATGTCGCATGGTGTATGTGAGTTGTTGTGGTTGAAAAAATTGTTGAAAGATCTTGGGTTTAACCCCAAAGGTGCTATGAAACTTCATTGTGATAACAAGGCTGCTATTGAGATTGCTCATAATCTAGTGCAACATGATCGAACAAAACATGTGAAGATTGATCGACATTTCATTAAGGACAAATTGGATGTTGGAATTATTATGTTTCCGTTTGTGAGATCTGAAGATCAACTTGCTGATGCTCTTACGTTTTCATCTGCACAAACGAAACAAATATCATACAAAATCTCAAATTATACAACACTAGAAATAGAACGAAACACTGGAAGAATTAATGCTATATTTTCACTCACTACAGTAGCAGAGAAAGTCTCAATTATTTCTCCTTTTCTACCTCAACATTATTTGCATTTGCTTCGCGCAGGACGCACCAGCAGCAGCGAAAGCAGAGCATGGGACGACCGCACGACCGCAATAGTGAGATCATTGCTTGAGTTTCGGTACAAATACATGAACTAGCAATTTTCATGCTTTATGGCATCTTAAGTAATAGTAATACCCACATTCATATGGGTCTTAAACATTGAATACACGTCTAACTTGGGACAAATAAACTAATATTAAACTATCCATTCACAAGGATTAAACCTAAAAGTTGTAAAATTTTAATGCAAAATAGCGAGGTCCAACATTAGTTTTGAGATTGCTTCTCCTAAAAAACATTGATGCATGCTCATAAACATAAATGCCTTTTCTTTTTTCATTTGATATTTACACATCTTTTGCCACATTCTCGCTCCTCTTTTTTTTTTAGGGCTCATTTGGAATTTGTTTTAAAATGACTAAAAGCATTTTTTGTAAAAATGTTTATGGAATCAATCTTTAGTAAAAATACAAATGAATCCTAACCTACAATGTGCACATAATTGGTGCTACTTGCAAAAAATATTTTCTCTAAAACGCTTTAAGTCATTTTAAAAATATTTTCAAACAAGACCTTATCTTTTACAATAGGTGATCATTTGAAGGAAAATTTTATTCGAACCCATATAACCTCTTCTACACCCAACTTACCCTTTACACCCATATTATTTTTAATGAAAGAATTAATATCTCTTTAAACCCAATTTTATACCTAAATTACACTCACAAACCCAATTCAAAATGTGAATTTATCTTTACACCCATTTAAAAAATAAAATCCCAATTGAATAATTTGGTGAAGTTTCTACTTGTTTATGAATCTTCCATATACTTTCTTGATATCCATCTCTCCGTGATTGTATTTGCATAAGCAGTACATGCTTCCATATGTCTACTTAAAACACCATAGAAAATAAACTAATAATAACTTTTCTTTCTATGCAGATATTGTGACATGAGGCAGTTAGGCGGGAATGCTAGGGTTATCGACGAAGCTACCATAGGTGTAGAGAATGGTGATGGGCAATTTGTGTGGCCCATAGCAGTGGAGGATGAGCTTGCCAAGCTCTACCGTGGAGATGATGAGTTATACTTAGAGGTGAATTATCGTCGGGAACACTCACCTTCTCAAGCTGGGAACCACTTCTTTTCCGTTGAAATATTCAACCAAGAACATAGTCTTAAGTCCAAGGCGAGGCTTCGCCACCACCTAAACAGCGAAACCCAAACCCCCCAAACTCATCTTCTCAACTTTCAGTGTTGATGGCCGTAAATTGAAGCTCAAAAACTCATATTCTCAACTCTATAAAAAATAGAAATCAAATGGAAAAAAAAAAGCATTTCAATGTAGGGTTTTAGCCAACGTAGGATAAACATTACATGATGGTAAGGTTTAATTTGTGTGTGGGTTTATTGATAAATTTCATTTTATTGTTAATTTCATCTTGTATTTAATGGTAATCATGCAATAAGGTAAAAAAGACAATTCACATTTAAAGTTTAAGTTAGGTATAAAAAGAAGTTATATGAGTTCAAATATTTCCCTAAGTTAAAGTCTCATCAATTTTTTTTTTTCCTTATAAGTTATAACCCACATAATTTCTCAAACCTACAAAACCCCACTACCATTTTTTGAAGGTAAAAGATTGCAGGCGCCAATATACGCAACCAGTATTTCAAATGCTCCCAACCTTGAAAAACCTGGGTTTTATAAAAAGGATTTCATACCATTAAATTGTATGATTTTTTTTTTTGAGTTCAAAAGTTGTGTAGCCACGAAAGATTTCAAATCCCCTAAAATTCAATAAGGGCGCGTTTGGTACGCGGGACGGGACGGAACAGGGTGGAACGAGGCGTTCCGTCCCGCGTTTGGTACGCCTAAAATGAGTGGGACGAGGCGTTCCACGGGACAAGTTTTTGATGATTTTTGGTTCCACCTCCCCCCCTGGAACGGGTTGTTCCACGTCCGTGGGACAGAAAATTTTAACATTTTAGGACAAAAATGCCCCTTGTATTTTTCAAAATTTACAGCATCAAAATCATACAACAAACCCTAAAAACTATTTCTCTTCTTCTCAGCCGCTGACCCTCCCCATCTCTCCCCTTCGCAACCTTCCTCCTCATCTTCTTCTCAGCCGCTGACTTTCTTGCACTGGGTTCCTCGTTGGCAGTCTCCGCTGATGCGATAATCAATGGAGAAACGTCTGCACCTTTGAAGAGAGAGAGAGAGAGAGAGAGAGCAATTGAAGGCAAATTCTTGTCAGAGAAAAACCCATTTCTCTGCAGTCCACCAAAGCACTTCTCCGCTGAAGCTTCACCTTTCTGCTGATTTTCAGCTTTCCGTTACTGTTTCTTCCGAGGTAAAGACTTCGTCTTTCTAAATCCACTGTATTTCATTGGCTTTTTTTCTTGGTGAGAATTGGAAATTTTGAGTTGGGTTGATTTCTATCACTGCATGCTTGGATTGTTTCGATTGTAGAGTAAATTTTCCACATTAAATTTTCCACTATATTTTCTTATCTTGCAGATTTATGAACAAGGATTTCTCTCTGGTGATTCTGTGGGTGAAGTCGGTTTCCTTTCTCTAGTTTTTACTGATTTATCATCTATGCCATATAATTGTTTGGGAGTTTATTGGAATGTAATTCAATTCCTCTGTGTTTCATTTTTCTTTGGCACACTACCCACTTACGATTGAAATCAAATTCGTATGGTCAGATTTTTCGGGGATAACCTTTTCTCTTCGTCCCCTGCTCTATATTTTCATGTTTTTATTGTCTCCTTTCTTTCTTTCTTTTTTTTTATGTTTCAGATAGTGACTATGGGTCCTCTATACAGAAAGAAAGTTATCCAGATAAACATAGAGAAGGGAAGTGACTACTTGATTTCCATGGCAACTGGAAGCGGCAAGTCCAATATTTGGTTTGTTTGACATTTTATCTTTTGTTTAATGTGTATAGTTTAATGAAATGCCTGAGAAAAACCATCATGATCATGATGCTTGGTAAACAATTTGTACTAAAAAAATGTTTGACAAACGAAATCCTAAGCAAAAGATGTCTGTCATTGAGAAATCCTGCTCTTTGCATTCCCTTTTTTTTTTGGTCGAAATGTCCGAATTGGTTTAAGACTTCTCATTTTGATAATTCATGTGCCCTTGGTTTGATAGCATTTGGATTTAAGCGTTGATAGAAAGTATCTCATTCCAGTCATCAATTCATCTTTAACTTTGATTCTGTTAATTTTTGTCTACAGGTACACAAAAATATGCAGATTTTGCTTTCAAATTTGAATTTGCTACAAATTGAGAGGCTTAAGGACAATCTATGTTCAAAGAAAAATAAGTTGGACAAAGAGAGGACATGGATATGGAACATGATTGGTTTTATTTTCTTTTCGTTTTAAGTGAGCGTTGCGAGTTATAAACTATATATATATATATATATATATATATATATATATTTTTTTTTTTTTTTTTTTTTTTTTTTTTTTTTTTTTTTTTGTTAAACATGTACTATACATATTTGTCCCATAATTTGAAAGCTCAATCAATATTTTTTTTTTTAAACTGATTACTTATTTGATAATTATATTTAATTTAAAAAAACAATAAAAGGGTTAACTACAAGTAATTACCCAAAATTACAAATTTTAAAGGGGTTTGCATGTGGAACACAACATATACCTATTAAAATTTGGACCAAGAAAAACAAATAATGGATAATAGTGTTCAAATTTGAACAACTTAGAAAAAAAAAAAAAAAAAAAGCCTTGTGGTTCCGTTCCATCCATGCGCTACCAAACGCAGAACGAAACATGGGTATTTTAGTCATTTTAATATTTTGGTTCCGTTCCGTCCATGCGCTACCAAACGCAGAACGGAACAACCGTCCTGTTCCGTCCTGCGCGTACCAAACGCAGAACGGAACATCCGTTCCGTCCCGTTCCGTCCCGTCCCGTCTGCGTACCAAACGCTACCTAAACGAACTAAAACGGCAATCGAAAGTTTGAGATATTACCAATCGAATGCTAAGTCGACCAATTTTTTAATTAAATTTACAACTCACGTGGGTTTCGATAAAAAATAAACATTGGGCCCAGCCACAGCCCATTTCCATCAAAGTTAGCTCACTTCTTAGTGGGTATTTAATTTTAGGGTAAATTACATTTTACCCTCTCAGTTTTAAGGTCGATTGCAACTTCTTACAACATTTTTAAAACATTTCAATTTCATACATCTGTTAAAAAATAATTTTTTATGTATTTAAAATATAATGATTTACCCTTTTTTTTTTAAAAAAAAAAACCTAGAAACCCATCTTTCCCTCTGACCCACCTTCTCCCTCTCCTCCACTCTCTTCACCTCCGCTCCCATCCAAAAAACCCATCCCATCCCACCCACCCCACCTCCCTCGCAACCCCCCCCCCCGGCACACCCACCCTTGCCTCCACCGCAACCCCCCACCCTACCCTACCCCACCCACCTATTTACGGCGACCTCCTCCATCTATTTCTCTTCCTCCTTATCTCATTCTAACCTCGAATTAGAGTCGATCGGACACACGAGATGCATCCAGCAATGACATCGAAAGGCGATTTTGGTATTTGACAACTGAATGAGTGTTGTTCTTCCTGTAAAAACTCTGGGTTTTTATGGGTTTTGGGTGGGGTGGGGTAGGGGTGGGGTGGGAGGGGGGATTGCAATGGAGGTGGGGGTGGGGTGGGTTTTTTGGATGGGAGGGGAGGTGAAGAGAGAGAAGGTAGGTTGGGGGGAAGCTGGGTTTCTAGGGTTTTTTATTAAATAGGGTAAATTATTATATTTTAAATGCATTAAAAATTGTTTTTTTGCCATGTGGCACAAATTTGGCGGCCACGTCAGCACAAATGTGGATCCCATATTTGCCATGTCATCACTTAACGAATTTTCTAACAGATGTATGAAATTGAAATAAAATGATAAGTAAATGTATGAAATTGAAATGTTTTAAAGATGTTATAAGAAGTTGCAATCGATGTTGTGTTCCTTTCAAGTGCAAAAATAAGAATAGTATAGTGGCACAAGTAAGGATGTTGAACCACAGGGACGATTAGACTTCTACAAATTACTAGCTTTATGTGAACCCTAACTAAACAATGAAACTAACAAATTGAGGTTGGATTTTGACTTGAGAAGTAAAGTAACTTAAAATGCAAGAGAATGTAAATATGAATAATAGAATGATTCAGAAACTATGGGAATGGAACTAGGGATACCAATTTCACCATTACAAGCCAATTCCATAAAAATTAAGTCAAAACGCATTCAACTTTCCAATATGCAACTAGGGTTCATTTTACTCATTTATGATCATCCATTTGATGTGTGGTTGTGATCAAGTACTCCTAATCTGCAACCTAGTTGTGATGTTCAACTTAGATTACCAAAAAAGAATCCATTAAGAACAAGAAAAGTTCCAAGAACCAAAGAAATCACATGGCAGGATGTATGAATAGCAGTTTCTTCATTGATTCACATGTCTACCAAGATTAAGCATGATTTGTACTATAACCTTGATCAAATAATCTATAAGAAACCTAATGGTGATCAAACATTAAGATAAACAAACAAATTAAACTATAAAATCAGTGAATGAAACAAGAAAACAAATTGATGAATCGAATACTTTAACTTAATAACACAGAATAGTTTTGCAAGGCTACATCGAAATCCCCAGCTATGAACTTAATTACACAACATGATTACATAATATATAAATATCAAGAACAACATGAGTGAAATTAAAGTTCATAGAAGAAACCCCCTTAAAGCAATTCTGATGTTGAACTTCTCCAAGAACAGCAAGGTTGCGTGGTTTCTCGGTGGCAGCGGATGGTGAAGGGAAATAGGGTTTTGTTTCTAGAAGAAAGGCTAAAGAAAGAGAAGAGAGAGAGCTCTAGGCGACCTCAAAGGAGGGCTTGTGTAAAAGTGATCTAAAACCCTAGTATTTATATGCTAAATGGGGCTGCAAGATATTCCAAAGTGATCCCATCATCTTAGCCTTTATTTTGCACGTTTTTGCGTTATTGGCACCTCCAAATTAGGCTAGATTTCCCAATTCCTTTCCCATTCTGTTCCTGTATTCTAACAAGCCAGATTTGTCTTAGATTCTTTATTTGGGCTTCAAAACATGCCACTAAACTTCTTTCCACATTTGAATAAGGGTTAGCCCCAAAAATGGCATGTTTTCATTTCTTTTGCCTTCAAATTGATTCTAAAGTACAAGTAACTGCACACTAACACAAAATAAGGTAAAATGCAACCAATTTAACTAAAAAACATCACAAAGATACTAGAAATTAATGGTATAAATGCATGAAATATATGAGTTATCAATCGACCATAAACTTGCTGGGGTAAAATGTAATTTACCCTTAATTTTAACACATTTTGAACAATAACCGGCCCGGTAGTTGAGAATGAGAAGTACTTGTGATGTGGCAGTTTTTGGCGGCAAATCTACCCTTGTTCACACTGAATGAGTTTTGCAAGCAGGTTTTACAAGGAAAAACACTTTTTGTGGCAAAACCGTAAATTAAAGGAATCAAAGATCGATTACCCAAGTGGAAACTCATCCTCTGCCAACATTCACATCAGCCACTTGGTTGAAAGGGAATGTATCAAGCCAGAAAGCTTAATTCGCAACGAAGAAATCTCTATAAAAGCAAATAAGAGAATAAGAAGAAAAAAAACACTCAACATTTATAAAAAGAAAGGAAAACTAATGAAAATGATTTGAAAACTCTGAGTTTTAACGATAAGGACAAAATAAAGGATAAAGTGAATAGTACCATGATTGATTTTTTAGTGTAAAAATATGGTTTTTCGTTAAAATAAACAGTACCGGAAACTTTTCATTAAAGTTTCCTAAAAAGAATTCTAAACACTCTGGCACGTTCGTACATTCCTTTTGTAGTTCATGCACTAGATTTATGGTTTTAGCATGCTACATTCCCTTTGTGTTATCGATTTCCTTACTTTCATTTTCCTTTCCTAAGTTTGTACCTTGTGACCGCAAAGAGTTTGCTTGATTTTGCCCGAATAGGTTGAAACTTTGTTCAAATACTTATATTAGTTATTTAATGTTCTAGTTATTGTTGTGGATGTAAATTTCCGCCGCTTTCTTCTTGGGCAAAATTGCACCTACAAAACAATTAACACCTTAGGTCAAGGCCAAGAGCTTTGCGCGCTCACGATGAATGGGGGGGCTTTGGCCGAAGAACCTCCAATGCAAAAATTAGAATTTAGAGAGAAAAAGTGTTTGAGAATTCTAGAGAATTTTAGCAAGAGTGTTGGAATGAATTTTTGGTGAAAATTGGAGCCTATTTATAGGATTAGGCTTGTCTCTTTTCCCTCAAGGTGTGGCTGGCCTTGAAGGGATTTTGTGGTTATGATCTTGGTTTAATTAGTCAATTTATTGGCTAATTAAACCCTAAAGAATAAATTGGTGGTTACAAAATTGATTATTTGTATAAATGGGGTAATAAAATGGAGAAAAATGAAAAAGGTTAGGAAGAAAGGGAGGTGGCCGGCCATTGCCTATTTTTAGGGTTGAATGGGATATATTTTGGTGGTTAATTGGATGATTTAATTGATTAATTGGGTAATTAATCCATTAATTAACCAATTAACATTATTTTGGAGGTTACCTTGCAAAAAAGGTATTTGATTAGATAGACTTTGAATTGTTTAACTCTTTTGGAGCATCTTTGACTTTGTTGAAAAAAGATTGTCGACTGCTTGCCCGTAAAGATCCCGGTGCACCTCAGGGGTATTTTGGTCCTTTTTGTCCAACAATACACGTGTCGCCTTATGATTATTTTTGGCTCCACAATTGTCTTCTCATACAGTTCAATGTCATTTTCC